TTTTTTTTATAAACAAATTATATGCAAATCTTGTGAGCCTACTTGATATTTAGGCAATTAATAATAGATGAGTCCATTTTAAATTAGGTTAAAATGTAGTAAATGTGGGTAGTATAGATATTTATATATTTATGTGGCCTTTTACTTTTTAATTCTCTAAAGGTATTTAGGTGTGATGTGAAATGAAGCCTGTTACTTATAGTGATATGTTACTCATCATAACTGAACTAAATATTGTGCTGTCTGTACAGTTCTTCCCTGAACTAAATGTTGTGCTGTTGAACTCCACCAAGCGGTCTGATGGCTGCACGTCTTATTGAGGTCGGTGAGCTGTTCATCAGATTTGAAGATCGAATCCCCAATTGCTAACATTTAATAATATTAACCTACTAACTATTGCCTTTATCAAAAAAAAAAAAAAAATGTTGTGCTGTCTGCACAGTTCTTCCCTTCTTTGAAGCCACGTTAAAAGCAGTCCCCTAACAAAAGTATAACGTTTTGTTCAGTGCTCGAGGACCATGGGCATCACATGCTCAGACGCAACATCTCAAAACAGTTTTGATTGTGAAGTTTTTAGAATTCGACTTTTGTTTTTAATGGACCATATGTTATGTTTACCAGACATTTTGTTAATCTGGATTAACCTTCTCTTTGTCACTGTACCATTGGCAAGCAGCGGAACATGGTAATTAAGTAAGGTCAAGGCAATCAGAAAACTCAGATGCTGATTGCTAACGAGCCATGAATTGACTCATGACGACCAATGTCCCTTTTTTTTTTTATGTTGGGTAAGTTATTAGTCGTGGCAGCCTGCTTATTTAGGCAAGCAATAGAAGGTGCAACATTAAAGACACAGTGACACTACTAATTTCCACCCAAAAGAAGTGAATGCAGCTGAAGTTGACGATTTATGATGAGCAATGGTCCCCTCCATCCACCTCCTTTTCCTTGACTGTGTTTTTTCCGCCATCTTTTTCAGGCAATAAATGCATTATCAAAACTATAAATATACATGCACAACCCTATAGATATTGTGATAAGTTCGAGTACACGTCACGGTCTTCACCATGTGTCAATCTAAATGCTTTGAGTGGCGAGAAAAGGGTAGTGTTGCAATGCTAAGGTTCATGGCAGAGAAGCTGCAAGCAATTCTCTCACTCCCTAAGAGGGTTAGAGTCAGGAAAGGCCACTTTGTGGTCATTGCAACGCGAGGCAGAGAACCTCAGAGGTTCCTCATCAAGTTATGTTATCTCCACAATCCAGAGTTCTTGAAGCTGCTGAAGCAAGCTGAGGAAGAATTCGGGTTTTCGCAAGAGGGGGTGATTGCAATCCCTTGTCGACCAGATGAGCTTCAAAAGATACTCACCATGTCAAAATCATGACTCAGCCAAGACATGGGATGTATTTTCACCATCACTTCTTTCATGTTTCTGTTGGTCTCTAGTATTTCTACAGAACTCTCTTGGTTCACCTTAATGCTATTAATTGAGTTTGTATTATGTAATCTACTGATAGAATAAAAATAGGGCATGATCTCACCAATTACGCTTACAGTTACCAGCACTTTGCCTACAACATGACTCTTTACAATATGCATGCACATTTACAGATCCCATTCCGCTTCAAACATTTCTTGCAACCACAACTATTTTAACTCGATTCAGTACTGTAAACATAAGAAAAGATTACCAAGAAAAGCTTGAGCGACTGTTCCCACTAATTTAGAACCTTGATCATTTGCAGACCATGTCAGGTTCAAACCTCTACAATAGTTAAATTGTAAAGCCAAGATATCTTGCTCTTGGAAGGACGCGGCCAAGTTAATTGACTGTAAGAATTCAGGCAAGGAACAGGGAAAGTTTAGCCATGAATACTATATCAGATTTATAAACCTGTTTTAAAAAGGTTGAATTGATATTTCAGTATTGCCTTTTAACATGTCAAAAGATGTGCTGAGAAGTTTCATGTATCAGTATAAATTCGCTCCCTGGCTCTACAAAGAGGATCAATATTCCCGAGAAAATGAATAACAAGAACAGGGAAGGAAGGAAGATAAGTTCTCTGATGCTGAGATTCTTCTTCCAGAAACTGACAAAGGTTCTAGTGGCGGCAATGGCAACTAGAGGAACTGCATTGAGTGATGATGAAGATTCTGAAGTAGCATCCACTGTGCCAGAAGGACATTTTACTGTTTTTGCAGTCAAATATAAGGAAACTCAGAGGTTTATTCTTGAGTTGGAGTACTTAATTAGCTAACCCTGCATTCTTGAGGCTCCTGGAGCAGGCAGAGGAGGAATATGGATTCAAACAGAAGGGAGTCCTGGCAGTCCCTTGTTGACCAGTGGAATTACAGAAAATTCTAGAAGACAAGAGGAAAGTGAGTTCTGGTCTTGGAAACCTGGATAAAACATTTTTTTTTTTGTAAGAACTAAGCTGTTAAGGAAGTGAATCTAGAAATTTTCTCAAATCATTGGTCCGGTACTGGATGTAGCCTTTCATAGAAAGATGCCTAATATTTACAATGTTTTGAAGGGTAAAGATACCCCATGTATGAAGCATGGTTGGGGTCACTCACACATGTAACTTTTCATATTGTAATCCTCAGCTAATCATATTTTACCCTATTGCTTCCAATCCTATTGGTTTTACTAGCAGGAGGGATATCAAATTCAAAAAGTATCGATCCTACAAGCTGGTCCAGGGACTTGATTTGTGAATAAATTTTGCTTACCAACCATCAGACGTCAGACTCAAATTAATCTCCACGGTCTGTACTGCACCGTACTATTTTCCTTTTGCATTTGCATCCAACTTGTCAACTAGCTGAGTTGTCAGGAAAGCTCGAGCTTGACTCATTTAAGAATTCTGAGCTCAAGTTCCTATTGGATCTAACTCAGCTCCTAATGAAAGAATTCACAGCTTGAGTTTGGTCATGATTGTTTCCCTTATACATACTTGAATTGATCCTAGTTGTATCTGACATGTTTAAACACCACCCCCCCCCCCCCTTTTTTTTTTTTAATCTGGTTGGGTGGAACAGGAAATGCCACCTTCTTGCCCATTCCTTTTGCTCAGTTTTGATTAAATTTCTTTGCTGGCTGTCAGAAATTACATGATAGGGACAGGGAAGTGCCAGTTGTCTAGTTGAACTTCATCCCTGCTGTCCATGCAAAACTGGGCACTGACGTTATACATTAAAGATCTGTCTTCCAAGAAATACAGTGGAAGTGAGGAGCTGAAGGAATGCAGGAAGGTGTTCAATGCATTAAGGCTTCTTGGTGCCGACATTTTTTGAAGCCTCGAATAGTCAACCTACAGTAAATTTATCCAGTCCTCAAAAAAGGGAGTGGCTATGGCCACCAACTGTTTTGTTAAGGCCACCAAAATTCTGTTTAAAAAATATTAATTATGTTTGATTTGATTGTTAAGTATAGCTATAATTGATAGAATAACTGATATTTATTACTTAAGAAATTGAAATTAGTTTATAAACTGACATTTTCAGACATCATAACCATCTGTATAAAAAATAAAAAAAAAACTACAAATATCAGTCAAATTTTGATGACCTTAACAAAACAAGTGGTGACCTTAACCACACCTGCAGAAAACTTCAACTAATTGCTACTTTTCCCATTTATCTAAGTCTGTAAATAGGGATTATCAATCTCATACATGTAGATGGCTTGATTCAAGAAGATCCAAGTATTTCTCATGAATCTTCCTCTAATCCTAACATAGATGATGTATCTTTGACCAGACTAAGACATTGGACTTAAATTTGATGCATGCAAACCACTTAAGATACCATCTAACATAAAACTGAAAAGAAAAAGACTAATATAAAGATGCTTGGCAGTACTCCTAACATTTTTCTACTTGATTTTGTAAAAATATAAAACAAGATTAAACTAATTTTCTTGTTGTTAAAAAAGGATATATATCAGTCCATTGACTCCATCGGTTATCAGATAAGAGAACTAACATTCTCCTGTCTACCGCGTTACCCCACTAGTTACAAAGAGTGCATTAAATGGTTCATGGTTGGTTCCATTTGAAATGGCCCCATAATGTCCCTCAGAAATTTCACCTGCATTTCCCTTCCATTTAACAATCTCTCTATAAATTTTCTCATTCCCAGACACATTTAGAAAGCAAAAGAACACAAGAGTCATAACCTTCAGCAAGCTCTCCTTCATATTTTGAGATGTCTAGTTCCATGCAAGATGGCAAAGAAAGCTGCAAGGGGCTCTCCATGCTTAGGCATTTTACTAGAAAGCTACAAAGAGTGTTGCCAATCTTACCATCTACAAGATCTGAGCAAAATGGTGTCCACTTTGATGAAGATTTAGAGGCAGCAACTAAAATGGTTCCAAATGATGTAAAGGAAGGACATTTTGCAGTAGTTGCTGTGAACGGTGGAAATCCTAAGAGGTTTATCCTGGACCTGAGCTTTCTGGCAAATCCAGCATTCTTGAGTTTACTAGAGCAGGCTGAAGAGGAATATGGTTTCCAACAAAAGGGACCTCTTGCGGTCCCTTGTCATCCTGAGGAGCTACAGAAGATTTTAGAAGAAAGTTGAAAGAATGTTGCTAGTTTTCGAGGTAGCTTCTTTGTTCATGGCAATGTTCCAAAAAGCTTCTAGGTTCACTAGTTTATTCTTTCTCTGTAACTAGTTCTCTTCTTTTACTATCTAAGCATTAATTACTGATTAGATAATGACAAGCAATAAAATTGAAAAGCATCATACTAAAAACACAGGAATGAACACAAATTTTCTTTGTCAATCATGTTTGAAAGAACTCAATACTAATTGAAAATTTAAAAATGTATTCATTAAGGTGAAAAAAAAAAAGGAATTACAGGGAAGGTAACAAAAATCTTACATGGTATGTTGATATATATCTTCCTTGTAGTAGTTGACTTGGTATTATTTCACCTCAGAGCAATTGTTTGGACCAACAGGTTCTCTCAGGCAATTAGAAATGGCCATAACAGCTGCTTCAATGGATGCATCTTCCCCCTGTTTAAGTTCAAGATAATAATTTTCAAAACCAACATTCATTGTACATAACCTGAATGCCTCATAAGCACACTAGCTAACTGCATAAAGGGCAAGATAAATTCACCTTTTCTTTCCAAAAAAACATGTTTCCGTATTTCCCTGTCAAACGACTCCAGAAACTACGTGGAATGTCTAGATCAACTGAAGCCCCAACGTTGAAATTCAGAATATTTCCTGATTGAAAAGATCATAAGTAGAAATCATTTAGGCCACTGAAGACAGAGTATAAAGATGGTGCTATAAGCTAATCCTTTACCAAAAGTTGGATCAGCCACAAACACAATAGTTCTATCATCTACTTGCCAAAAATCTTTAATTGCCAGTCCTGTAGAAAATACTAGAAGTGACTCAGGCGAGAGCTTCAAGTATTGGATGTAATCAATCTTAAAGAGAGAGATAAAAGAAAATATAGCAAAGAAAAACAATAAAAAATAAATACACCATACCAGGTGTTTCAGGATAATTCTGTGCCAGAACTCTCAACTTAAAGCCAGTATCCTTTTCAATATCAGCAATCTCCTGTGTAAGTCTTCTCTCCTGGGATCAAACAGAACAACATTACTAATATCCAATTGTTTGAAAAAGGCTCCATTTTTTTTATATTCATTCGGACAATTATGCTTAATATGAGCATCCACTAGCATTCAGAAGAAGAGAGAAAAAGGCAAGAAACCTGGCCATCAGAGAGGAACCCGGCTACATCAATGACAGTAGAGAACTCTTTAGGAAGTAATTCTGGCTTGTTAACCCCAACCTTTGCCTCTGCAAATCCAATTCCTATAGAAAGTTTGGTTCATGAGTTGGCTGCTTCGTTCATGAATTAAAGAAAAAGATTTACTGAAAACATGAAGCTAATTTAAGGGAATTCAGATTCAAGAAAACATCAAGGAATTATCACAGAACTTGTGGGCTTAATCCAACACCCAAAAGAATCAAAGGGCTCCCATTGCGTACTAAATTAAGAAACCCAAGATTGAATATAAGGAAGAAACACCATTACAGTTGAGAAGGGATAAAAAAAGGGAAAAACTTGCCAGTGGTAGTCAGAGTAAGAGCAATGGTGCCGGAGAAAACCCAACTCAAAGACCTGCGTCGAAAATCCGGCACCCAATTGGGTGGTTTGAGGCTTGCGGAGGTTGGCAGGGAGAGGTGAGGTGATGAGGTGATGGGTGTCGACGGTAAATGCCGGGAAGTAGTTTTAGAGAATGGAGATGGTAGTTGCAGAAAAGCCATGGAGTTTGTGTCTGGGACCGACCGTTCAACCGAAAACGAGACTGTCTTTGTGATAAGGATAACAACGAAATAGTACTATGAATTTACCAATTAATTTCTTTAAATTACTACTTAACTCCACTAAAAATTAGTAATTTAATGCTTTTAATATTTACAATACCTTGAGATTG